TTCCATCACCATCACTGTCACTGTTGCCGTCGCCATCTCATCCTCTTCATTCTTATTTGTGAGTTTTTCACCTCCATTCTTTTCGTGGATTTCATAGTTTTTGTGGTTTGATATGATTATTTTTTTTGGTTAAAAATATGATGTTTAATCTAAGTTTTTCACCTCCATTCTTTTCGTGGATTTCATAGTTTTAGTCTTTGATTTTATTAGATCTAAGTCTTTGATTTTATCTTTATTAAATCTTAGTGGCTTCGATCTGGTGGCTGAAGGTGAAGCTAGTGATGTTATTACGGCAAGAAAGAATCAATATTTGCTCCATCAGAATGCTTTTAACTGGTGAAAGACTTCCTTTGAGGCTTTATTCTCCCATTCCATCTTGATCAGTAGGGTGAAACATAGACTAAAAAAAAATTTTCACTACAGTTATTTATATAACCGCTGTGAAAAGTCACATACCACGGTGGTTCTTAAACCGCCGTGAAATCCTCTACATTTTATGTCGATGGCATAGACGTCGGTCTCAAAACCACCGTAAAAAGCTCATTTTAACTGCCGTTAAATGTTTTTTTTGTAGTAGTGATCTCTCCTCTTGAAAAGAGTACATGTTGAATAATTTATAGACTAAGAATCTTGAAAACCCTAAAATGAAAACCCTCATTGATAACCTAAGCCCTAAAAGCCCATTATAAGCTATTAGAGCTTAAAACACCAACTAAATAAAATGCATAAAAAATAGATGGGAAAATGCAAAAAAAATAGGAAAATTAGAAGACCTTCTAGAATACTCTAACTTGCTAGTCAAAATAAAATAATCTAGATCACTCACTACCTAAGAGGATCCCATCATTAATGATAAGGATCTTATTTGACTCTACTAATTAATAAAAATACATATTAGGAAACTCTTTGCCTTCGAGAAGTAATCAATATAAAATAGGAAACTGTAAAATAGGAAACTAATTAAAACAAATAGAATCATATTTAATGTCATATAAGATCACTCATGATACTTCTTGAATCTTCATGGACCTTCCAACTGGATCTTCATAATTGCTATTCATGTCCATAAGCATGCGTGGGCCTTTTAGACATCCATTTGGGCTTGAATATGATTGAATCAAATTCTGAAACTCACATGGTCTACAATATAATGTATTTGGGCTCTAATTTAAAAGATTATAGCTCCAATAGACTTCTTCAAGTACATATAATTGTGTTGGGCCTTTAATAACATAGAAATTGACTTCAAATGCTCCTTTTGGGCTCTTAGAACGTGCTCTTGTCTTTCTCAAGGTTGAAGTGTCCAGACTCCAATGACTCACATGCCATGGTGGCTTTCGGGTGGCCTTCCATATGTCATGTTAAGCTCCACATGTATCCATGTCATCATCTAAGCAATGATCTATGTCATCCTCCATATAGGCATTCTTGACTTATAAATTCCTTAAATACTTTGGAGGGCATATAGGGCCTCTAACTGAATGAGTGCTATTTCAACTTCACTACCTCCACATTAAACGCCTCCTAGTATGCTATCATTCATGCATTAAAAGTGGAGAGATAGGATTTTTACAACCTTATGATAAAGTGGTTGATTAAGTGGATTTGAGAAAGAAATACCCCAACTTGGTGAATAGAGTGAAACAGTTATATCTTGAGTGTTCTTCTCTTTTGTTCATTCCTATTACATTGATTGTTCTCTACTTTAATCCCTTCTCATAAACGTGGATCACTATGATTGCTTTTTTACTTTGAATTCATAAAGATTCCCATTTGTATTATTGCTATTCCCTTCTTTGGTCTTGTATTGCCTTTGTCCAGGAATACAAAGGTTTAAGTGTGGGGGAATTGATTGGGCCCAATTCTTTTATATCTCTTCATATCTTTTTCAGGGCTTTTATCATAGTTAGTAACTCTTTTAGTGATAATTGTGCTTGATTTAGATTGAGAGTTGTTACTTTGAGTTAGTGTTTTTTTGAGTATAAAATTGTCATAATTAGTTATTAATTGTATTCAATTGAATTTTAGGACAATTAATGCTTCAAATTGTTTCTTTTTATTGCAGGAGCCAAGATTGGAGATCAAGGGATTATACAATACAGGACCTAGAATATTGTTCCTAGAAAGCTTCGTTGCGACCAAGATAATTATGCACCGCAGCGCAATTGGAAGATGTGCATTAATGTCGTCTCGAGATGTCTTTGCCACAACCACAATTCAACTTCGCCGTGACAAACAAAATTTTGCTGAAGCTCCTTTCAGGAAAGCTTCACCGTGGCAAACAATTCCCTTCGCCAGGGTGAAGTCCTCATATCAGCAACCCAGATTCAGATCCTAATCATAAAATTAGAGTACTCACTCGTTAAATCCGACCCATTTCACCCCCTTAAACATTTAGAAACCCTATTTTTGACCTATCACTCCATTCACTCATCCATGGCCTCCCCCATTCGTCCTCTCTCATTTTCCCCCGTTAAACCTTTATCTTCTTCTATTTTTCCTACGTTTTCCACCATGGGTATCTCAAAATCATTGATGATTGTGGTGCTTCCTGCTCCAGTGCGTGGCTAGGTATCAGTTTTCTTGAAGATGGGTTGATTAGCATGAGTTCCAAGAGCTTCAAAGGTTAGTTGATTTCATCGATAGTTCTAGTTGCTCTTTTATGAATTCCTAGATCTAGGGTTTGTAAAATTGTGGCTGAACTATGTTGATTATGATTGTAATTAATTCTAGATGATTATCTTGTGTATGGGATTAGTTAATGTTGAATGTGAGCTTCTGTATATGTGATTACATATATGTTTCTTTGTGATTCTGTTGATACTCTCTTTCTTGCATGATATTGTGTAATTGTTGAGTTAATCTAGATTTACATTGAACCAAGTACATTAATTAACTGTAATACAAATACTTAGTGCGCTTCATAGGGTTTTATGATTAGATGGTCATTTATTAAGATCCTAAAGTTAAAGGATTCTTGAAAGTTTTTCATTTAGAAAACTTAGTGATTTCTACTCCTAAAATCATTTTGAGCTATGATTGCCAAAGATCTATTTTTAAGAGGTTCAATCAACTGTTTTTAATACTTATTTTTCCATCCATTCCATCCTAATCTCCTGAAAATCCAAAATTATATTTACATTACACTTTATTTCAATTAATAGTTTTAAATGAAAACACCTCAACTTTTTCCTAGTCAATCTATGTTTTTATGACATTTAGTTAACTTAGGGTCAATAACTAATGGCTTTAACAAGAGAACGACCCAGGGTTGCACCTTATAGTGCTATCCTTAGATAAATTTTGCATTTAACCCTAAAGCATTAAGCGAATGGTTAAATCATCCATTCTTCCAAACTTAACCCTTAACAAAATATATTATTCTGTCCATGTCCTCTCTCCCCCATTTTGGTGCCAAACCATGCAAAAAAATTAGGAAAAATTTTGCTCCAACAAGCTTTTAGTTATTATACTGTATAATTTTTCAATATCGGTTAAATTTTTTCTGGGTCCTATCTAATCCAATACTTTTAAAAATTTATCTCTCTGCCAATAACTTCCTTCTGATGAGGAGAGGTTCTCTTTTTTTCTTTCATATTTAATTTTGACCTATAACTCTTTCTATTCAATTTTTTCTAGAATCAACTTTATTTATTTTAAAGCTAACCTCCACACTTTTAGAGGTTAGCAATAATTTTAAAATTTATAATAACCTTTAAAATAATTTTTCTCATTTTTTCATGAATTACTGAGGCCTCTATATATTTTAAATAATTCATTTTGACCATTTTTTCCTAATCAGCCAAAAATACCATTAATTACAAAAAATTCAAAAATAAACTATTTTCATGTTTTCATCTTTCAAGCCTCAAACACTGTTCTAAACCTTTTGTTCTATTTTTTATGAATTTTTGGATATTTTTGAGAATTTCGAGCATAATTTCCTCTTCTACTCTCTTCTGGACCAAAACTTTTTAAAACGACAGTTTCACTTCAAAAGTTATTCTATCTATGTTTCTACTATACTGTCTGGCCCTCAATCAATCCTAAATTCCTCATTTTGCATGTTATAATTAATAGGATATGACATGCAACATATATTTTGATTTTAGGAGAGGTCCTATAGGTTTCCAAAATTAAAAAAAGTCTCTATAATTTAGGTAAATTAAAGGGGAGGTTAATATATTTTACTCAAATATATTTTAATGTATTTTGACATTTCTTGTTATGAGTTTCAACCTAAAATGCTTATGTCATGATACTAGATTTGCCCCACGATTTAAGAAATTCATTACAAATAGAAAAACATTTTATCTAATCTAAACCATAAAATTTTAAAAATTGTTCACTAAGGCATAGAAAATGTAAATATGAATTTTGAAAGAAAGAACCTAAAAGTGTTACTGAATACATGTGTGCATCTAATAGAAATTTCTACCCAGCTTTTTGATGCCATGTTGCGTTTGAATTGGTTGAGGCACAATTTGACCCAAAACAAAAAACAAAAAAAGAATGAGTTGAGCCACCATACAATTCAACTAGGTTTTCTAATTTGATTTTGAAGGAAACTGACAGTTAACTACTTATATTTTTTCAATTAATACAAAATTACCATATCTCTTAGCAAAAATCACCAAACAAAACCACCGAAATTAAAAAAAAAAATTGTAAATAAAGACATGTTGATATTAATATGAGTTTTAACAACAATAGTATAGGTTTTGACAACTTTTGTGAACAGATCACTATATGCAATTTTTTAATTTCAGCAATCTTTTTCTGTGATTTTTCATATCTCTTTTCTTTTAATCTTTTAGTGCAAATTAAAAAGGGAATCATGCTACATGATGAGAGAGGCAACATTCAATTTTTAATTCATGATAAGCACAATTGTACCACCTTCGACTTTAGAGTGCTTCGTGTGCCAATAATTGAGACAGAACTTTTAAGTTAATCGAAAATTCTTTAACCCAAAGTCATTTTAGAATTGATGATCAATGTTAATATCCACCGGCCAATACTCAGCATTGCAACAACTTTAACACCAACAAAAAACACTACTCAAAACAGTTTCAGATATTGAGTTCTCGTTGTGAAATAGTTGAGGAGAGACAATGCTCTTTAACCCAACTTTTTAACTATCTGTGACGGGTGATGTTTCCATGAGGAAAATATAATGAAGTGCATGTGCAATGTGGAAGAAAAAAATTACATGCAAAAACAATAGAATGAGAAATTAACAAGAAATAACATGACCGGTTCATTACGAACCAGCCCTCAATACCCAAAACAAAAAGAAAAGCGCTACGTGAGAAAGTGTACATATTTGCAAGTTTAGGTCTTGACTCCCTGAAAAGACGAATATAGGATCCTGAAGAGTCCATCTGGGTTATCTGCATGTACCTGTTGAAGAGGAAAAGTTAGTTTCATTACACAATGACAAGCTACCACATGTACTACAATACTCCCTCGTTTCCATTTAAAATACAGCCACTTGAAGCGTAATTAATAGGCCCAATAGAATGCTGGACAATTATAAGATCTAAATATGACTCAATCAACTCACAACTCTCTGTAAGTTGAGCAATTCAAAGAAATTTCTATCCTCCAATTTACATTATTGGTACGACGCATGCTACCACTCAATAATCTAAATGTTGCACTTAACAAGTCTTTGACAGACTAATGGTAGCCTAGTTCCAACATACTCAACATCACAAACACGCGCACACACAAGGTTGAAATGCATTTTTGCCCTAAAAATACCCTTGGATGAGCTATGAACACCTTGTAGAAAATTGCAGGGCAACATAGCACATAATCTTTCAAACTCGGTACAATGTCCCCCTTTTTAACAATCAATAATACAAACCAAGAGACTTCCATTGACGCAAAATTGGTTATTAAAAAAAGGACAACATTGCAACAACATTGAAAGATTATGTGCTACATTGTTATGTAATTATCTTTAGAGTGCCCATAGCTCATTCAAGAATACTTCTGGAGCAAGAATGCACTTTAACACATATACATTGTGTGTCTCAAAGCCTGAAGATCTATCTCCAAAATCAACATAAATGCGATATGTTCAAAAGGTAAGGACCAACAAACACGCCAGCAAGCTTAAAGATCAACTAGAGAACACATTTCAGAGTTGATCTTAAGCATTCATGTTGGGACGAATAGATAGACAAGACAACAAAAGGGAATGTAATCAAAAAAAGATTTGTAGCATCATGCTTTTATTATTAATCAAAAATGTCTCTCTTTTTATTACTTAAGCAAGGACATAAGGTTATTTTATCATCCCAACCTCATTCATTTTTCATTTTTGTAACTAACTTCCCATCATACCAAACATAAAAGACATGCAAAGGGCACAAGCATACTCTACGTGACTAACTTACCCAGTGGCCAGCATCTTCAAGAACATGCATTTCAACTCCACCACCTTCCTCGGCAGCCAGCTCCTCAGCAGCATGGATTCGTTCAAGATCTTCAAGAGCCCATCTGTGTAGACTTCTCTCTGCTTTCAGAAAGTTCATATGCACACCACGAGGAACATTTTCAACAATTTTCCTACGAGAATGAAAAAACAAAAAAAGGAAAAAGCTAAATCATTGACTCCATAGACAAACTTTTCCAGAATGGATTATTTTTATTTAAATTTTAGTGCTTATATCATTAACTTAAAGATTCATGAGTGCATTAAATAAGGAATACTTTCTCCAGTTATGCAGCCAACATTTCTTATTCAACTTGCACAGGCAATTTAAATCATGATAATTCATGACAGGATCGACCCCATATTGTGCAGATAAGTCAGGGCAATAAAATTCACACAACTACAGCTACTATAATAGCTCATAACAAGTACCACAAATTTGTTTCTTCATATGACTGATACATTTCAGCAATCGCCTTTAGGTCAAACATCCACGAGAAGCTTGACATTCGTGAGCCAAAAGGACTGGTTGGTTGTAGGTTAGTGACTACCCACTGCATGCCAAAAATAAAATTATCATCACTCTATCAGGACACTATTAATATTATTTTTCTCTTTATCATGTTTTAAATGTATAAAGTCAATTTCATTATTCATAACTTGACACAGACAAAAACATATTTTCAATCAGTCATCAAAAAGCCTGCTCAACAGACTTGAGTGTAGTTATTTCAATTAGAAAAAAACATATATTGGTCTTGGGATCTTATGATTAATAATTCATTTAGTTTTACAGTAGCAGCATACATTTTACAATTAATATGAAAATGAATTGGAAAGATTAATAATTCAATCTGTATTAGTTCTTTTGAATTTTCAATTTTGTTCGTGCATTTTTTTTTCTTTTTAAAGGAATGTTTCTTCCTTGCCAAACGTTAAAATGTATACCCCTACTATATTTACATATTATACCAAATAACTTCAGAATGAGAACCCAACAGCAATCAATATTGATGAACGATGTGGGAACGTTACCTGCGCGACATCATTAGAAAATCCTCGTTGAATTAGAGCTTTGACAACTTCCCTCTTCGATGAGACCTTAAGAAAAAGATCATAGAACAATTATAACTTTTCTCACAAAGACATAAACTTAATAAATTTTTTAGCAAGAGTTCAAGGCTTCTACTAAGGGACAACCATAGTACTTTGAGAACCCTAAAGAAAAAGGGGGAATGAGAATTAGCATGATTGACATGCACAAAATGTTGAGAAACACATTTTCTGATAGAAAGATAAACGTTATTAGCAAGACAACAGATGAGGATAAGTATATCCTCTAAAAGCCAAGGAAAACACAAAAGAAATGTTCCCACATCTCTTGTGCTACGTCTGTGTCAAATCTAGCAAATCCAGAGAGCCCCAAGCAGCTTGCTTATCTTGTATAAGAGACATGGGTGAGAAGTCGCATGCTAGCATTGCTTGCTCAGGCCCTCAAGAAAGTGGGGAAGAGAGGAAGTTGAAGCATAGAAATCAAGAAGGCAACCAAGCAGTACAATTACTTTAGATATAAGGTTGGAGGAAGAACATCAAACATAAGTCAAACAAAAATCTCTCCAACAACCAATCAAGAGACTCCTTTATTGCGATCCTCTCTGATAGGCTTCTACCATTTTGCAGTGGATTCAACAGACAATAAGATAAAATTGAACATTGAGCAATACCTTTTACAGTAGGTTCTACTTTACACACAATAAAATATGCCACATCTCATGCTGGAATATAGAGAATACAAAACAACCTCAAGACTCACCAGAACACAAATGCAGCCACATAGCATCACCAAGTTAACAGCAACTCATTCGGCCAAATAGCATCACACATGAAGGAAGTGACACAAGACATAGAAGGCACCAAATTGAAGAAAAGAAATAAACAGCAACACAGAAATTGAAGTACACAAAAACAGGGAATAAACCTACTAGCATTCAGTAGGTTAGCAACTCTCAGATATTTTCCCCAAATCTTTTCCACACTTTCTGTCCCTAATATCCCTCCTAACTATCTCTTTATCTTCGTATCAGCAACTGCCAACTCAAACTCTTAACGTCCACTGAGTCAATTATTCACCAATAGGTATTACAAGTATACAACAAGATATTTGCAGCTTAAGGGAATCAAAGATCTCAATGAATAAGGAGCAGAACCAGCAATATGCTAAAGCATACAATACCCTGTCAATCTATCCGATAATCTCTCTCTCTGCTATAATCAGAAAATAATACATTAAATATCAATGGCTACAAACTATATATGTTAGTCGGCCCAACCACAAAGTATCTTAATTATGCGGTATTAATGTTTAGCAAACTATTGTTCAACACAGACACATGACATGCTAGAGCATTACCTGACCAATGACAACCCTTGCACATAGCCTATCAATCAAGTCCGTTGTTAAACTAAGTCTATAGATAATGGAAAACAAAGGGAAAAAAATAATATCAATATACCCATGGGGGAGACAAAAACTTTGTACCAGCATTAAGTTTGTTGGGTGCTAAGTAAAGCTTCTTATTCTACTACAGATTGAACTACAAGCACAAGAAGCATTACCAAAGAGTGCACTCTCAAATGAGTTATTAAATATTTGTTATTTCCCTATTCAACCATACTTTCATCCCACTAAGTCCCATGTACCTTATCCAATTAACCGGTTAGGTAGCTAAAAATGTTAGTTAGATGCTAAGAATGTTGGCTTAGTCAGATGCAACTAAACTTAACACAAGTGAAACAAGCAAGTTTAGCTGACAAGGAGATTCACTTCACCCATTGTCCATTCCATAATAAAATAGAAAATCATAAACAAATAGTTAGTAACACTTATCTACAATAGTTAATTCATTTTTGTCATTCCCCTTGGTTAACTTGTAATTAACACCTACTTACTCAGTAGTTTGTAATCGAAGCAAAGAGACTCAAGTAACAACTTTTGCTATGGAAAAGAGCTCCATCACGCAACTCTCCAATAAAGAAGTTGCTTTATAGAATTATAGGTTAGGCCACCCAAGTCCTAATTATATGTCTAGAATGTTTCCAAATTCTACTAATAAAAATGTTTTTTCCCATTCCGTATGAAGTGTGTTAACTGTCCAAACATACAAAAGGCAATTACAAAGCCCATCCTCATCAATTTTCTTACCCTTTTTCTCTCATGCATAATAACATGTAGGGACCTACCCGTGTTTCAACCTTAACAAATGCAGAAATGGTTTCTGACACTAATAGATGATCACACACAAAGTTACTTGGGTGTTTCTTGTAACATCCTGAATTTTATCGGGTTTTAATTACCTCTTTTGGTTGATTTTGAGGATAGATTAGTGATTTAAATGTTGATCTTGGTGTTTGGGTTGGAATTGAGGTATGTTGCAGGAATAGGTGAAGGTACCTCCCTCAGGGTATGTTAGCCGCGGCGAAGTTTTACTTCGCCACGGCACACCGGGAGTTCCAGGGGAGAGTATCCTTTCGGGAAGGTTTCACCGCGGCGAAGGTTAGGGCATGCCGCGGCGAAGATTTTCTGGGCGAGCGAGAGTTTCCTCTCGGGAAGCTTTCGCCGCAGCGAAGTTGGGTTTTCAGGCGAGTAATCCCTCTCGAGATTAGTTCGCCGCGGCGAAGATATGGGTTCGCCGCGGCGAAGGAGTCCAAATCTCTATAGTCGCGGGAGGGGTTCAGTGTGCAAAAATTAGAAAAATCTGAGGTAGAGAGAGAGGCTCTACTAGGGTTTCGAATTTCTGGCTTGAAGGGGACATTTCTAAGGATCCATTACCTCAAGTAAGTGATTTTAACCTCTAAGCTATCTTCTTTCTTGGAATTTATAAGGATTTATGGTGAAACCCTAGAGTTTTCTAGGTTGTTATGGAATTGAGGTTTTTGACCGATTGTTTTGAGTTTAATTGCTTGCTTTGGGTTAGCCTAAGTATTTAATCGGTGTAGTTTTCTTGGATTTGGAGAACCTTGAGTTTTTGAAGCTAGGGTTTATGAGATTGGAAGGTATGTGATTGAAGATGACAATGTGGAGATTGATTTTGAGTTTTGTGACTTGGGTTATATTAAGGAGGGTTAAATTGGATGTTTAATCGGTTTAGAATGTTGTTAAGACTCCAATTATTCAAATGGGATGTTTAGGTGTAGAATTCCTATAGTGGGTCCTTGAGGTTTGAACTCTAATTGATGCTTAAAAAGGGGATTTGATGTTTTAATGGACTTTTATGATTTTGGAGTGTTGTTTTGATGGTTATACCCTTTGAATTGGGTAGAGCTTTGGTTGGAGCTAGGAATTTTGTGTCCCCAAGTGTTGTTTTGGCCACATTATTAGTTTGAAAGCTAATACATGATGGTTGTGTGTTTGTGTGCTTGTGTAGACCGGTTGTGAGCCTTGTTGGTGCACAGACCGTATCGTTGGTTGTTATTCCTTGCTTAGGCGAGAAGTAACCACTTTCTAATCCTTAGTACATGCTTCTGTGGTATTGTGAGTAGATTTATGTTTTGTTCTCCGAGTAATAATTATGTTCAAAGTATATGTTATATATCAAAAGGAAAACCGTCTTGTGGGGTTTCGATTGATGATAAATGAATCTTGGAATCGTGAAAGATATGCCACTGAAAGAAGTTAATTATAAAATGTTCAATTACTATTTGATTATGGTTTGAGCATGATGCATGAATTGAGATTTGGTGAGAGTTTTTTATAGTCACTACCACGTGGTAAGACCTCCATTAATGCATGATAGTCACTACCTAGAATTGGAAAGGTTGGTTACTGAGACTCCGTCTTACCCCGTGGTTTCCAATGTTTTCAGGTGAAGTTTCTAGGCGTGCGCCTTTGGGAAGAGACGCAGAAGCTTGAGCTTGGTTAGCTTTAAGCCTCTAGCATTTGTTTATGTATGGCTAGTTATATATTGCCACAGTTAGGGTCCTTTTTAAATATTTTGATTACCCGGCCTTGTTGTAAATTGGGAAAATGTTTTCTCCTTATTTTAATTGGCCGGAGGCCATTTCTATTGCTTTGTGAGACTTTGTTATACATGGTTGAAAACTAATTGGATGGGCTGATTTTGATGTATGTTGTTACCCGGGCCGGAGGCTCGGAGGCCCAATAGATGTTAATGAATGATTCTTAGTTGCATGCAACAAAGTTCGAGTTTGAACCGAGTTTAAAAGTTAATTTCTAAAGTTATGTAATTTTTTTCTACTATGGTAGTTTGTTGTAACAGGTTTCCTTTTTTACCATAGTAGTGAATTTTACGACAAGTTTATAATGTTTTTGGGGTAAAGGGTTTTACATTTCTCACAAAAGAAAAATCAGACTTCACCTAAATCATCAGGAACTTCCACAAAATGATTATGAATCAATTTGACACATCAACAAAAATTCTACAGAGTGATAATAGGAGGAAATATGTGAACTCAAATCTTCAAGCATACCTTAAACAACATGAGATTATACACCAAATAAGCTTTGTAAACATACCGCAACAAAATGGGACAGCAGAAAGAAAAAATTGTCACCTCCTAGAAGTACCTTAATCCACCATGATAACCAATAACGTGCCAAAATTTTAATGGGGGGAAACACTTTTGACTGCCACACTCACAAATCGTCTACCATCCAAAACCCTCAACTTCAATACTCCAATCCATTATCTAAAACCTACCCAAACTCACTCATATTTTTGACAAAGTGTTCGAATGCATGGCATATGTTTAGCAATAACCATGGTAACAAACTTGACCCTCACACCATTAAGTACATATTTCTTGGCTATTCCTACACCCAAAAAAGGTACAAATGCTACTCACCCAGCTTGAAAAAAATTCTCTATCACAATGAACTTTAACCCTACTGCACCAAAACACCCATTCAGGAGGAGAGTGGAGAGGAATGAGAGTTTTTCCTTCCAGAAAATGAACCTCAAACAGCACCAAACCTTACTAGATCCACACCTAAACCCCAAACCACCGTGAATCCACCTTAGGCCGAGCCCATCCATTCTAGCTAATCATGGCCTCAATCTAAACCTGGACCGAACTGAAGAGCCCAGGAATGCTGGAAATGA